GTTATTGACAAACTCATTACATATCTGAATACATGATAGGTTTGTGTAGATGACTAGTATAATAGTATAACATCAAATGTTAAAACAGTATATGTCTTGGTGTTAAGGTTTTTCTTTTCACAGGTGAGCAATTTAGGCCATGGGCCTCTATATTTCATTATTTAAGGTTTAGAATTAAATAAGATGATTTATCTTGTCTCTATATTAGAATGCTGAACCACAAAAACTTTTTTAAGGACCTGCTTCAAAATGTAATGAAATTAAAAAAAATTTTGTGTGGGGGTGGGGGTGTAAAAATGCTTGTACTGAATTTATTAATATGGAAAGGTGTCATTTTTTTTCAATTAATTAGATTCTCAAATACATAATTACTTAATTTGAAAACCATTTTTTGGATTGAAACCATCAATTTGAAATTATAAGAGATTCTTTCTTAAAATTAAAGCCAATTTTAACAGGGATAGAAGATGAAAAGTCATGTAAATGAATATATGTTAATTTTAATGATAACAATGATAATTTTTATGTAATTGTAAATGATTTGTCATTCATTGGTGGTTCATACATTCATATATTGTCAAATATATTCATGAAATATTCATAATAAAATTCTACTCTGAGTTTTTAGTGAATTGCATTTGGGTTAAATATACATCAAGTGTTGAACTTCAGAATTAGTATGGAAAAGGGCTACTTTTTGGGATTATTTGGACACTTACATGTGTGACTTGTAAAATATACTGACAAATTTAAGTTTGAACCCATATATACACAAGTATGGATATACCTTAATGCTAAGTTGATATTACTCCAGGTATTGATTTGCTTTTGTAGTGGCTTCTGTCTGTTTTTACATTAAATACCTTAGTGATCTTTAGAGATTTCCTGTTCCATTCTGTATTTAGATAGTTAATTGAAATCTAACTTTGTTATTTGTGGGGTACCTGGAGGTGTTAATTTGTTAAAAAGCCCCAGTGGCCACTAATTACTGTAAAAAATTGGCCTGAAGTCGTAACATGGTGAGATATTTGACATTGTACAATAGCGCTATGTAATAGTGCAACCTAATCATTGTAAGTGCTAGGTTTATTTATTGACAAAGTTTAAAAGGTGTCAAGGACATCAGACTGTGATTGTCAGGTGTAGTTAGTGAATGACTGGCCGAGAGTTAGATCGCCAGGTAGCTGGAGGTGAAGGAAGGGCAGGTGTGCTCAGGTAGTTACAGGTCACTACTAATACAATCATGACCAACCGGCGCAAGAGTCTGGCAGAGAAAATGGACACTCTTATAAGGAAACGGAAAAACAAGTAAGGTTTGGTATTAGACCAATTTTGTTTAGATAACTTGCTGTATGTTGGCTTGTCGTAATATTTGAATTGTCTCGGTGAGATTTGATTGGATGTCTTTGTTGATCACCACAGAGAGGCAGGTGGTTGGGGAATTCAGATTTTCTGTCGCAGCAAATTTTTTTTTCGGCAAAATTTTCTTGACTCTGAACAGATGTTTTCACTTCTCCCACGTACAATGAAGATTCCTCCTCTGACATAATGAAGAAGCTGATGTTTTTTTACCCTACCTACTCATTATAAAAAAAAATAGATACTTAGCATTTAATGTGTATTCTTACACTGAAGCATGGCTGCATCTTGTATACACCTTCAATTAGGAGAATGGTGGCGTATTGAAGACTTTGATTTACATGGGAGAAGAGAAGGTGTAAACAGACATCCACATTGTTTATTTCTGGACAGGATGCTATAGTCGTATTGTTGGATGTAGTTAGACATAATTCCTCAAAGGCAGGCGCGCGCGTTCTCAAGAAAGGATTTCACAGGCCGCTGGAAGGCTAACATCCAGACATTGAATAATGTGTTATATTGAGTGATTTTGTGTATTGTGTTTTGGGATGTATCACAAAAAAAGGTGGAGGTAGGATATGACATTGATTTAAAAAAAAAAATTATTATATATTAAGTAAAATTCTAGAAAGATAGAGGTATTTCCACATCAATTAATTGTGATAAGTTCAATCATGATATTTACAATATTAACAACATTACGCCTAAGCCCAAGATTTAAAAAAATGTAAAGGAATATACTCAGTCATCATGTCATCGCGGTACAAGGATTTTAATGTATTGATAACAACAAAAAATAAATGACTAATAACTCAAAAGATGATTAAAAACTACAAGTATTTGGGTCAATCTTTCTGACATCATTAGAAAAAAATTGTACCCTCGATCAGTTGATCATTAAAGCAATATTTGAACAGCTTTCGAATAATTAAATTGATTTTACGGCCTACCCATTGATTCCTAACTTTGTTGACTTAATTTGTTTTAAATAAAGTAATGAGTTTGATGTCAGGAATTGACTGTTAGGTACATAAGATCTGTGTAGTCGTGGTTTCTTTGTCAGGGTCCAGTGAACACTTAATGTAAGATCACTAGGGGGTCAAACCACCTTAAATGAGGGTTACATGTTTTCTTTATTTTGTGTATTTAATTTCCCTTGATGGACTAAGAGGATTAGGGTTCATAAGCTGATTGTACTGTCATTCAGATGTATAGAGTGAATTATCTACGTTACATAATCCACGGACCTAATACAGGATATTGTATGTGAAATCTATTTAGAACAATCAGCTTCCGATGAATTAAAGAAACTACATTGATTGTGACCAGAGAATAAAATCTTAAAGTTGTAATGATGTTAGGGATATGATGAATTATCGCTCCTTTGCTTATGAAGAGTTCCTTAAAAGGTAAAATATACTATTGTTGAAATTTGGATATTAAATACTCGAGATATTTAATTATTAAAAAAAAATTCAAGGCTTTGTTTTTATTTCAGGAAACGAACATAGTCATGTTCTATTTATAGGATTTTTTTGTTTTAAAATGTGACAACTGATAATTATCTTTGATACAAAAAATAAGGAAAAGACAAAAGAGGGCCAAACATGAATTTCTTTTGTTTGATTAATTATTAAACTAAAAATAGATATTTCTCGTGTCCTGTGAGTTGACCGCCCCAGATGGTGGCAGGTATAACATGTCTGTCTGGTAATCACATAGTCAGGCCTACGTTAGTATTACTAGCTACCTGAGTGTTCGGGAATTGTTTTTTGTGTGTGTAAATGTCATGAATCTGCCATATTCTTGGCCCTCATACATTTCTTGCCAGAAGTGAAATCTCTGAATGACTCGATGGTTCAGAAATCGGCAGATGTTGCTCCCGGCTGTACCTGGCCAAGACTTCTGAGAACTTTAGGTGTTTTATTTCTGGATTAGACTTCACTTTTTTAATGACTTGTGTAATTAAGACTTTGTGGACTGGAATAATTAGCATTTGAGATGAGGAATTTCTCTTATGTGTATTACTGTATAAACTTTCCTAATATCTTGCTGTGTTAAAGGTGTCGTATCAGATAGTTTATATGAAGGACGTACCGCTGTGTAAATTTGTTTAAGGTATGACATTGGGATCGGGTTTCTCATTCAGCTGGTGAGGACAGGAAGTGAAGATTTGTATCACCTTTCTGAGGTGTTTGAGTGGGGTTCTGTCCATACAAGACGTTACTCTGAGATTGTTAAACTTTGTTTTTTTATGTATGTCCTGTAAATAATGGATGGTTTCTCACACTATCTGGTCAATGATCTCTGTGTAGGCCAAAAATAAAGAGGGACTGACTCATTGGGACCTATCAGAGATTTCCCGTTAAGGCGATGTGCCAGTGTGGTCTGGATATTGGAATTGTTAAGGCGGTCTGGATATTTGGAACTGGCCTGCCATAACTGAATCTGTCCGACTCCTTTCTTTGGTGGAGATATCTGCTCTGTGATTTACAGTGCGAAAGTTGGAGTGGATTTGTTCAACAGAGTTTTGGATTTCTGCCATGTTTGAACATTGATTTGTGAGATCTATAGTTACTGTCATAGTCTTGTGTTCTATCTGTTGCTCTAATCATTGTGAGCACCAGGGAAAGTTGACATATAATCTGAAAGTAAAACGTGCACATATTTAGATGAAGTGTTTCCATTGCGAGGAAACAGAGACAGGACAAGTCGGTACAATTTTAATTGAGGAAGATCAGAGTCTCTAAAGTTATTCTTCCTGTTACAGGAGTTTTATTTTATTGTTTGTGTTATTGGACAGTCATAGGTCAATTCAAATGAGACATTTGTTCTTGATGATCTAGTGTTCAGCACCGAGATACTGCCTCCTTTATATTGTGTTACGTCTTGTATCAGACCCTGTGATGGGTGAGTTGGATTTATTGCCAGAGGAGAAATCGTGTGTTTCTGTATCACTGGCTAAAGTCAGATAAGGCTGCCGCCAGTCTCATAAAAATAATGGAATCAGCATGGGAAAAGATGGACCCTGTATCAGAGGTTGAATGAACGTTAATCTCCACTGTTGACTGTAATCATTGGTGTCTGTCATTAAATATTGATGTTAATTAGAGGTATTCTGAGCACACCTTATTCATACCTACTAACATGCAACGTCACATAGGTAAACAGCTCTGATACTAACTTTATAGTCCTTGTTGTTAGTGGAAAACCTCTTGTGTTCATGACTTCATGCAATTAAAGCTCGAAAAATCAAAAGAAAGAAAAAAGCATTAGGCTACAGAACGTGCAACACAGTATTGATTTTACATGCAGGAGAAAACGGTAGTAAAGGGATTTTCAGATGGCTACATCTTTATGAATATTCTTGGAGAGAGAACAACTGTGGATTACTGTTGTGTCAACATTCGTATTTAAACATTGGGAGCGGACTTTTCCATATTGCTTGTGTTTTTATCATTGATTTCTGAATGTAACTAGATTGTTAACAGAAGGCCCTTGTCGAATATGGCCATTTTTCAGCGATTTTTGAGTGTTCCTGGAAATTCCAGTCCTACTCCCGATTCGTGGCGGGAACGAAATAGTGAGAACTGGAGGGAGAGGGTGGACGTTATTTTTGATGTGCTTGTATATCCTTTCAGGAACATCATTAATTCTCGGATCCGCTCCTCGAGATCCCATGAGTCCCTGCTGACCAGCTCGGTGACGATGCACTCGATTGACCTACAGAGCCAGGATATCAACATAAAGCCCCTCCACAGTAGTGTCCTAGGGAAGGAGCACTGCTTCCAGGTGGCCACCAGCAACGGAAGTAAATACATCTCCTGCCGGACATCAGAGGAACGACAGAAATGGCTAGGAAGGTAAGAAATATGAAAATACGTAAACTCAATATAAAATTGATACGAAGGCTCGATTATGAATGTATGGACATGATGGAACTTGATCAGGTTGAATTTTAAGAGAATGTGAATTTTGATACAAATATTTCAAAGGTGACTCCTAATTGGCAGGTTGCAATATTCCAGTGTAAATTACCTGGGGTATTATAGAATAAAGGTCACCTTGTCGAATGTCAGTAACTTATACCTAGTATACCTCTCTGGCTTGTGTGGGGAAACTAATACATTTTTCAAGGTCATAATTTCATACATGCTTCATGAATCATTGATATAACCACTCGTATCCATAAAATCTCAGTACTCAGTTCCATTCACGATCGTTAATGTTTTGGAAATCAATTAATCCCATTACTTTGGTTGATAAACAACAATGAATGTTTCCCCATTCCATTAGCAATTTTACAACCTTTAATGGAATACATAACCTAGCTGTCAAATGGAACCTACTGACACCTTTATTATGTTAATGTGTGAAGTTCAATGAATTCATATCGCAGTAGCGCTCCTGTTAATCAGTTCATTTTGAATACCTCAAAAACATCCGAAAAGTCACTCAGAGTCATTAAAATCCACCTGTCTGTCGGACTGTTTCCTGAATCAGTATTAAAACAGTGCTGATGATAAATTATTTAGTGTTAAGACAGTATCGATGGTAAATCAGTGTATTTTATAAGAGTGTAAAGTTATGATGGTTCTTTACAGTTTACGGAAAACAGTTCAACCTAATCAGGACAATATGAGGAGGACGGACAATTCCTTAAAACTCTGGATAAAAGAGGCCAAAAATGTACCGTGTAAGAAAAGGTAAGCCATTTTTTTAACTAATTTGCAACAAAGGTATACTAAGATTTGACCTAGAGTCTTGATTTATTGTATGAAGATTCAGGTCTGGGTTGTACAATGTACAAAACATAAAGAAAAATCCAATACAAAGAGATTTTAAAAAGATACATTTCAAAAGTTGACTAAGTTTACAATGGAGGAAACAGTATGTTGTATTTCTTTTCACTGTGTGGGCAGACCTTTGTTTTCTGAGAGGTCCCATTTGATGTATTACCCCGTGTGACAGTTATGGCCTTTTACAAAGTAAATCTGTCAAGTAGATTTGAGGATGTATATTTTTACAGTTTAAAACCTACATGTAGACTCGATGTCAGTACATGAACTAAGACATAACAATTACACCATCTCCTCGTTATGTAGAGGTCAAACACTTACTCAGGGGGTCGTAAGACAATGGGATTAGTGTATAGGGGTCATTTGATGTGCGGGATTAATATTTTCATGTCAAAAGGATAACAAACACAAAAGAAAATGTATAAGGAAAACAATAATATTAAGTATGTAAAATGTGAGTCATAAGCCTATGGGGGAAATTGGTTCACCTGAGCATGTTTTAGATCTCTCTCTGTTTATGTTAATTATTCATCCATCAGTCATACATATGGTTATAGCGGGGAGTATAGTGTTTACTGCTTGTGTAGACAGGAAATTGGGAAGCTGAAAGTACTTCAGAACTCATTGACCCCATTATGTAAACATCTAACGCAGCCCCATATACAAGACACTTAAAAGATATAAAGTCTGCAGCATATCTTGTGAGAGAAAAAAAATTCCTGGTTGCTATAAGTATCCGTATCTCTTGTGTGGAGAGTGGGAGTTAATGTGTCCTCGATGGGAAAGAAAGCCTGTCTGGGACCTAATACACCTCCTCAAATTGTCCACAGAAAAAGCTGATCTTAAGATGACCTTATCATGTTCAGACAATGGCAGGCTCCAAAGATCTTACAGAAGATACTCCCTCTCTGCCTGTCATTAGAAAGTCTTAACAAAAATTAATGGAGCCATTATCTGTCCCACGATTTCCTACCAAAATATGTCAACTGCTAATGAACTCCACCCTTCAGGCTGTCCTATCAGTGGAATCGAGTTGTTCTTTCATTAAGATGCTAGGATTGTTATTTTATATGTATTAATTATCAGTGGAATTGAGTTGTACTCTCATTAAGATGTTAAGATTGCTATTTTTCAGGTATTATTGTGAGATTTGTATGGACCACACTCTATATGCACGCACATACAGCAAAACAAAGTCTGACATGCTCTTCTGGGGAGAACAGTTCGAATTCAAGTAAGGAATGTTTCAACTGAAATCTTAACTACCAGAAATAGAATGCAGGAAAGACGATTTGAGCCTCGGTATTGTTAGACATTTTGTAACCCTAATTCTGTAGTACTAAGTGGGTAATCCTTTCCTTTGACAGCAATTTGAACCCCGTGGAGATCGTGACGGTGAATTTGTACAGAGAGGCCGACATTAAAAAGAAGAAAAAGGACAAAAACACAAAAATAGGTACGGTCATGTCTAATTATAGGGTGGCACTAGCCTCATTGTGGGGGACGAGGTGACAGAGAGGTGTCCGCATAAGGACATGTTAATTATCGTTATGGGTTACCGAGTACGGAAATATTAGGAAGGTGACATTGACGGGGAAATTTATAGTGTGTCGTATATCTGAATTTCAAGTCTTATCTATAATTATTTATCCATTTAAAGTCATTATGAGGCAGCAAAAATATTTCCATTTAATAAATATGTTAACTTTTTTTTCAGGATATATAAATATACCTGTTGCTGAAATTCATGGCCGACAATTTGTGGAAAAGTGGTTCACAGCAAGCTCAGGAACTGTCGGGAAAACGGGAAAGGAGAGCAAGAATGAGCTCCCCTTGATCCGATTACGATTAAGATACCAAACTGTACACATACTCCCCAAGGATTTGTATCAAGATTTCACTCAGGTAAATACAATAAATAGATACCAAACTCGATAAAGATCTCTTATGACAATTTCACTTGAGGGAATATGATACATAGAAACATGTCATGGTGTTTTGTCTTGTCACCTTCATAGTTCAAGTTTGAAAACACAAAGAATTGGATGTAATTTGTGTAAATTTATGTAAATCAAAAGATTTGAAGGATAAATGTTTAAAGGAATTAAATATCATAGCTTTGATAAAAAGAAGTGCACTGCAAAACAGAGCATCCCCTCTCACAGAGCAACTTTGTAAATCAAGGTACTAGTAGCATTCAACATTGATCCTAATCCAAATTATGTCACTTCCATTTCACACAGAACATAACCCACAGACATGCATGCTCAAATGCGTTATTATATCCCCTTCAATTCTATTGAGATGGGATAGAAAAAATGCCAACCATTTGTAGTAGAAAAATCATATTTCAACATTAATTGTAACATTGCAGTGTTTTTGTTTTGCAGTACTTGACAACGGATTTCTACACTCTGTGCGAGGTCATGGAGAATCTTGTCAGTGTACGTGACAAAGAGGACATTGCCTCCACTCTAGTCCACATCATGCAGAAGCTTGACAAAGCAAAAGAGTTCCTCACTGAAGTCATTATCGGAGAGGTGCTTAAACAAGGTATGCAGCAGGCGTTGGCGTTACTGTACAAAAACAGCTTTTGTCAAACTTCAAATAGTAATGTAAAGAGGCCCTCCAAAACATTCAGGGAAATGTGCAAGATGAAAATAATTTGCCTTAAAGATTTTTATGTCACTTATGAAATGTATATGAATTATTAGAATATTTTTCTTGAGAGAACCACTTGGTTAAGATTTTTGCAACCCTCTTTGTGAAAAAATTCAGGGGGAAAATAAGATTTCATGATATTCTGAAACTTGGGCCTTAATTTAGTTAATTTATAAAAAGGGTTAAATAAGGAGTAGGCTGCAGTTTTATAGAGATTTGGAACACAACAAAGCTCTCACCATGATGAACGTAATTGGTCTTTTAACAGATAATCAGCATTTAACATTCAGAGGAAACAGCATTGGTACAAAGGCTATGGAGGCATACATGAAACTGGTGGGAGAAAAGGTTAGCACAAAAATTACCCATAATCAAAGAGTATTACACAACTAGAAAGCCATTTCCTTTGTCTGGAAATTACAATTTTCGCATATAGTCAAATATAATATCGGCTTATATCTCAAAACTCAATTCGCTGAAAAAAATTCAGATATCAATGTTGCAGATACTGAACTTCCACTATAATTCTATACAAAAGGAAGAAAAATAGTTTTGGTATAAAGTTTTTTTGTAATCTTTGTATCTGATTTTTACTGAGAACTCACGGAAGCTTTGTGACTTATTTCAGTACTTGAAGGACACTCTGAGTGACTTTGTTCACACTATCATCCACTCAGAGGATGACTGTGAAGTAGACCCAGGCAAGCTTGTCAACCCTGCCAGCATTGGCACTCATCAACAACTTTTGGACATGTACTGTAATATGGTGTGGACCAAAATCATCAGCTCACCTTGTTACTTCCCAAGGTCAGTATTTTATTGTTAAATGATTAAAGAACAGCAATTGATAATTTACATCTTGAGTTAATTTTATTTTCTAGATACAGATTTCTTTTCTAAACACTTAAATGACCATGACTTTATTTCAGTGAATTGCGTGAGGTGTTCTCCAGCTTTAGATCTCGGTGTAACAGTAATGGGAAGAAGGAAGTGTCCGATACCCTCATCTGTGGCTCCATCTTCCTACGATTTCTCTGTCCTGCCATTTTATCACCTAGTCTCTTTAATCTTACTCAAGGTAGTTATTTCTCAGAACTTTTATCTCATTCAAATGTTGGGGAGTTTATAAGATAAATCTCAATGCTTCATTATATTGTAAGGATGGCAAGACTGGAAATGTGTTTACTACCAATGTGAAAAACAGTCATTTGATATAGAATAAGTCAGCTCGAGGATTGTGAGGTGCTAGAGAAATGGCTTACTTTATAAATATTTTTGATTTCTAGAGTTTCCGCCCGAGAAGGCTGCCAGAAATCTGACCCTGATTGCCAAAACAATCCAGACCCTGGCCAACTCCACCAAGTGAGTGATTCCAGACTTCTGTCTAAACATCAGAATCTAGTAAAAGGATTCCTTCATAATTCTGCATAAAATACATGTTATTTCTTTGTTGATTTCAGATTCGGTGGGAAGGAGGAATATATGGAATTCATGAATGATTTCATCGAGAAGCATGATGGAAGCATGCAAGAATTCCTGGATCAAATTTCTGTAAGTCAATAGCTACCACAATATGAAAGGTTTTACAAGTACAATAATCATCCCTTAATCCATTCCAACAAACAAATCTCTGAGACTGACATTATAAAATGATGTGGTTGATTTTTCTGCAGAGTGCTAACAATGGTAACCATCTGCTGGATTACGATGGCTACATTGACCTTGGGAAAGAGCTCTCTCTACTTCACATCCTTCTCACTGAAAACCTAGAAAAGGCAAACCAGGTTAGTGGGCTACCAGTCAGTCATTCCTCATATAAACCTCTCTTTATATTTCTTGGATGAATGATCATCGAAATTTCTTGTGCTTTCAGGAAACTCTGATGAAATTGGGTAAATTACCCAGCATTCTCAGTAGCATTACGTCAGCCATTGAAGACCCAGACGTGGGGAAAAGTGTACAAGTGCCAAATAAGAGGAAATCTCAGATTTATGACAATGTTAGTGGCAGTATTCAGACAGGGACATCCCCCACTGAACTGCTGCGGAACATGTTACGTCAGTGCGGCGAGGAAGACGACATCCCAGTACTCGGTGCTCGACATTCACGACAAGGCAGTCATTTCAGCAGTGGACAGAGTACAGTGGTTGATTATAATGATAACGATGATGAGTATGTGATAATTAAACGTGTTCTCACAGACAATGTGTCCAATGTGTCGGCAAACTCACAGAACGCCACGAGTGAACACAGTGTGAACCAGAAGTGGAATGACATCGTGAATGCTGCTGATAGCAGTCATGGTGATTATATAGACCTCATGTCACTCATGGACGACGATTATCAGAACTCTTCTATGGAGCTGGAGAATAACATAAACGGGAGTCAGATGTCAATCAGTCAGGTGTCGACTGTGACGTCAGGGTACCAGTCCTACGGTTACAGCCAATCAAGTTCTCCCGTAGACTCGTCCAATCACGTGGAAGGCAGTGCCAGACCTTCTCAATCCAACAGTCTCCAGCCTCTGTCCTTCTCTAACCCTATGTACAGATATAAACACATGACCTCCTCCTGTAGTAACTCTAGTCAGTGTGTTACCCCCTCCCCCGGGACCCAGGGGTCGGCCAGCTCGGGGTCCCTCAGCAGTGAAGAGGAGGCCAGTGTGATCAGGAACAGAAACCCCGCCCCCTGTCGCCCAGACTTAAGTGATAACCCCAGTGATCCATTAAGAAATCTCGCCCCCAAACTGTCGAGCTCGAGTAGCTCAGAATCTCTCAATGAACTGGAGAGACACAGAATGTACTCAAGTACCAGAGACTCTTCACATAGAAAGGAGCCTGTTAACCTCCATAGTTCATGTCCCTCTAATGTGTATGATGATTTTCACAACAGCAATTATGAAAATACCCAAGGATACTCATTAAGCCGCGCCCCGACTCGCCCCAGTGAACTTTCTCATACAGGAAGCATGGACTTCTCTCAGCTGCGGCACCATAATCGCTATGGCGAGGGTCTGCGGAGAACGGCTACTGATTCTGTCATTGCTAAGTCTTGTAGTGCGAGTCAGAGTGATAGTGGAGCATCGATACGAAGTCAAGGGTCAACAGAGGATAGTCCCTCACACCGCCGTCTTTCTCCCCAGAATGCTGTTCACATGGGAATCCGTTCGGTACAGAGGAAAATAAACGAACAAGAAAAGACAAAGCAAGAGGTAAATTAAATATTTAGTCCTTAATTAAAGAACATATCAGGTAATGGGTAATTTCTGTGGTTGTCTAGTTTTTTTCAGAACTTTGCAGTTCTGTCTGAATTACAAATTAAAAGAGAATATCCTGTATAAATGAAATTTTTAAGTATGTAGAAAAAATTTTACCTTTAAGCTGTCAAATTATATAAAAAAAAAAAATCAAGCCATAAAAATTACCCATTTAATACAATATTACTATACTATGTTTTTATTCTGATTCAAATCAAAGGGAGCAAGAAAAACTATTGATATTTGCTGCAGCTGAATGTATGCTGATTTGGAACCATTTTAAAATCAGAGAAATTTGTGTAGGAGGAAGTAATTTAATAAATTCTTTGTTAAATCCGAATACTTCCCACGTATTAATGTAACAACAGGGATGAGTTGAAAGTCAATTAAATAATATTATATCATTGTTCTGAATGTTTTGCAGTATGAGCAGGAAGTGGCCTTATTAAAACAGCAGTTGTACGAGGCCCAGCAAAGGCTTCAGTACGCCGAGGAAAAACTGTACAAGCACGAGGCGGACTCAGAGAAAGTTCTGGAGGACTGGCAATGCCGTCTGGAGGAAAGCGAGGAGAGAATGCGACGTCAGCAGGCGGAGAAAGACGACCAGATGAAACACATCATCACAAGGTTGGTTAACGGTGTGCCTCATTCCGATCTCAACTAACCAGTCAGCGGCCGTAACAACTGGTGGTGGTAACTAATTTTAGTCACATTTAGTTTGTCCCGTACCGGTAACTCCAGTCAGCAGTGTACATCATCTGACACAATGAATAGGGCTCTGGCAATTTATCTTCAAAAATGAATGCATTGGTTCATAGATAAATGAAAAACTAATTCTGAAATTTACTTGTGAATGAAATATTAAAATTAATTGACATAGTTTATCATGCAAATTGATTAAGCTCTGAATGACTAAAATTTAAGAGTAATTGTGATGTACACTATGAGTTGTGGAGATACCAGACTTATGAAAGAGCTCTCTACCTGTCACTCTCTCTCTCACCGCCTGTGTGTTTGTCCTACCCACTACTGACAATTAACATGTTACTAAATATAGGTCTTCATGTCGGCCATTTTCATCTGTCTATATTATTTGGTAAAGAATGAGATGGGATAAGTCTCAGTAATCTCCCTTTTATATGTAATCTTCAACTTTCAATAAATGTCTTTTAATTATAAGAGTACTTAATGTTAATTTTGTACATATATTTTAACGTTCATTCACTTCTCTGCTCTAAATCTTTTCATGCTCATAAAATCTGACATAAACTCTGCTCACTTATGCCAGTTTAATATCAGTACGTTATCTATTTTAGTCAGGGTATACATATTCAAATAAAACGGTGAATAAGCATGTGTTTTTGCTTAGTGTGCATTCTTGCTTGTGTTTTGAACATGTGTATAATATTCTTGCTTGAAAAAAATTAAATCAATTAAAAAATCTATTTTGCATTTGTCTGATTTTGTATTGCTTTGTAGAATTCCGGAAAAGAAATGTTGATTTACTAACACATCATGAAAACTTTGTCTTATTGAATTTTTATCTGTTATTTACAGATTAATGAATGTAGAGGGTGAGCTTCGCCATGACCAAGAAGAAATCCGGACCGTGGTAAAACAGAAGCAGAAGGTGATCGAAGCGCAGGAAAGGCGAATAAAAACACTGGACACCGCCAACGCCAAACTGATGTCTGCGCTTCATCAGCTACGCAGTGTCTCCCAGACCAACAACAACACAATGCTGGGACCGCTGCGATCCACTCTCATCGCGCCAGAAGTGGCCGAGTTCAAGACCAGCTCCTGTTAAATCCATGGCTTTACGATGACTACACATTCGTAGTCACATGGCTACACGTCTGTAGTCCCCCCTGTAACTTTGTGATGTTCTGTGGTGCTTATCTTTGTGATTCACTGTGGATATTATTTTGTGTTGAACAAATGGCATGAGACAAGCATGTGTTTCTGTAGATAGTGCTACTGTTTACAGACAGACAGACACTTTCTCCAGTCTGTGATGAAGTGAAAAAGGTTGTGTAATAGTCCAAGGGACATTACTCTTCTTTGCAAAGAAATCCAAACATCTGTGCAATATATTTTTGTGTGAAGTACATGTATAATATTTAGTTGCATGATTGTATGAGTGCATATATTAGTACTGTTCTATTGTGATGTGAATTAGTGCATAAACTTTTTGTATGTTTTGACAAAAGTTAAACTTGCAATCTTGGTTTGCCATATGAATAATATGCACATGAACAATATTGACAGTTGCTTTAATTATATAGAGGCAGGGATTCATTAATTGGTGCAATGTTTATTTCTTTCACAGTATTATATTATCTAGTGATGTGAATAACGATTGTCATCTACCTGCGGAATCGTGATTATATCTGGAATTTTCATTATCAGTGACCCAAAATCTTGTCTCACTGCCAGCTAGTTCTTTTATACACCTGCATTTATTTAGCATTGCAAAACTGGAAAGGATTAAAATTAACATAACTATAATATCAAGAGAATACTGCAAAAAGAAATGTTCTGGCTATGTGTTAAATTAAATTGTATAAATTTAAAAATGTTCTCGGATCTGCTTTATCAGCATTGTTTATATTTATCAAACAGAAGTGTTTATGTTATTATTACAAATGTATTTATTTGTTGGTTTCTGATGACAGAAATAACTGCAATATGTAGGTAAGCAAAAGATTGGGAAATATCTCAGTCTGAAAACATAATAAAAAAAGTATGAAATTTATTCTAGTTTTATGTCTTTTGTGTGCAAGGCCCATAACTTACTGTGAAATCACAAATTTTCGAGGGGGTTTAATTTTCGTGGTTTTCAAGGTTATAATGAAGAGACCCACGAATTTATATCCACCACAAAATGCAATTTTTCATATCTATTACTACTGAACAATTCTTCAACCACGAAATCAAATCCCCATAAACCAATATATTTTCCTCAAACCACGAAAACTGTGATTTTACAGTATTAGCAACATTAATGCAATTTTGGTCTGAAAAGTCCTGCATTTACTTAGGAATGGACTTATCTCAAAAATTACACTAGTTACTCATCCAGAAAATTTCATTGAAATCCAGCATCTGAAGCTTTATCCCTTGATGCATCATCCATGCAAATTTGGTTTAGATAGGACTCGTAGTTTTCGTGGTATTGGGCCTTCTTCAAAAATTGAAACCTGGTCACTTTTCTGGAAAATGTAGTTCAAATTCAACTTCCATTCAAAAATGTATGTTACAATGCACTTTGAAAAATTACGCACTTTGAAAAAATTTTTCAAAGTGCGTTAAATTTGGGACCGAATCAACGCACTTTGAAAAAATAAAATTTTAATTTCAAAGTGCGTTAATATCGACCATATTAACGCACTTTGAAAAAATATGTATGGCTTGGGCAATATTCTTGTAAATCTTGGGTATGATAAATAATTGAACCTGTTTGATAACTCTTTGGTGATGAGGTCACTTCAGGATGTGAAAGTGAGCGATTTTGATTTTTCCATACTTTGAAAATTATATATCTCTAAATGTTTTACTTTAGTTTTGCAGTTTGCATGCATTTTATATATGTAAACTAAAATTTATTTAAAGTTTTCAACGTCATACCAGTTATGCAAATATATACCGGTATATATTTTGGTGTAGCATAAGCATTGGTACCGGGAGGGGGTTGGGTTCTTAGGAACGTAAATGTTTTGCAAATATATATAGGCATTGAAAATCGTGGCTTGCCTTCGAGGGGGTGTCCACTTTCAATTTGCTACCGAAGACTATGTATAATGTATAAGAAAAACAGTTGGGCTGAGAGGCCTTCTCCTCGCCTTCTCCTTGTTCCCAATGAGGTTAAATGAATACATGTAAATCAAAGATTTTTCGAAAGATACAATTAATAAAAGTCGATTCTCTCAATTACTAAAATCTAAGAATAGATTTTTTTGGTTTATACATATTTTTTTCAAAGTGCGTTATATGTCCTAAGGTAAAAAATTGTTTATGTACGCTCTTAACGCACTTTGAAATATTTTTTCAAAGTGCGTTGAGTGTGTCCAAAATTTAACGCACTTTGAAAAAATTTTTCAAAGTGCATAATTTTTTCAAAGTGCGTTGCCACAAATGTATCTACATTGCAAAGTTGGAAAGCAATGAGGGCTTATTATCACTTTAGAAAGAAAGTCTGCTCCAAAAACTTGAACCTTAATTATGGATACTGACAGCATTATGTTTCCCCCAACTTCAATGAGATGAGCTAAAAATTGAAATTAAAATTTCACCACATTTGCTAAATCTAGGGGTGAAGAGAATATTCAGTAGAATTTGATAGTTATATTCAGAGTGTAATTGTGTTGGGGATCTAATCAGTAGGTCGGTTTGACCAATCCACCATCATCTCTGTTTCAAGAAAGATAACTCCTGATAAATCAATGACTTCCTCTTGATAAATGATCTATAATCAATGTATTTACGGGTCATTTTCAAAAAATGTCCAAATTCCTGTTATGCAAGCTTTTTTGAAAATTTTGCAATAAAAATCAAATTTTTTTTTACCCGATGAATTTAACAACAATATACAAGTGTAGAAAAAAATTAAGTGCGATTAAAAATTGACTTGAATACTGAAAAAAGTCCTTCAACCTGAGTAAAATTAAAGAGAATTGCTTGTGATTTCGCCGAATGTTTGACTTCAACTCTGATTATTGATGTAGTAAATATATTTAAGCAGTGTAAAATGACCTTTATTGTGTTGTACATGTTTAATACTGTCTAAATGCATGCTAAAATGTGATTGAAAAAGAGTAAGAATATGATTTTTTTAATGGTAAGTGTGTGTTATTTTTGCCGTGTCCTTGGAGTAACCAGGACATAAAAGTTATCTGTAACAGTTATCTTTCCTAAAGAAACTCTTCACTATCAGCCTCCCTCTTTTGGTCTTGTTCCCGCCAAAATATCATGATACACTTAAGGCCAAAGTTTTTTTTTCTCTTGGTTTACGATTCCGCCGACCCTATTTTTCCCTATTTACAAAAATAAAAATAATGTGTCTGACTCTCGAAACTGGACTCTTAATCCGAAATTTTCTCGACCAAACGACAGTTTTTATAATTTACAACACATCTTAAACATTCAAATGACCTCCACAAATACAGATTTTCAAACCACATGTCGGAACAGCGCAAGGACCAACCTAGGGGGCGACTCACTTACAGACTGTATCTGTACTAATGACCAATGCATCGAATACTCCGTCGGAACTCCTCTAGATTTTATACTTCCGGGTATGAAAAAGTCCATCGTTACAAGTTATACACAACAAGACGCAAAACAGCTGGACAGCTATCGATGTCATGCGAAAGATGTTGGAGAAGATTTTAGATCTTTTTATTGTCAAATAATTAATTCATGCTGTGAATACAGACATATTTTTACTGTTAAATTATGAAGTTATTAACTTCCTAAGAAGTCACACATCGGATCCGATAAACATAAGTAGTTCAATCAGCATGCAGATGTGCATCAAAACCTTTACTAAAAAATGAATTTTATATTGAAAACAAAGTTTGAAGAGAAATTAACAAAATTATGAGTATGCCAAAAGCCTGGCAATCTAATGAGAAGAGAAATTTTAGAAGTTTAAGGTTGTGCTACTATATAAAAAATGAAAAAAAAAATGTTTGATAAACAATTAATCTGATAAGAAACTTTTACATTTCAATTGTAGTACACATAGTTGTAAATTTTATGTAATGTCAATGTTGTTTTATTAATTTTTTTCTAGATAGTTATATACCTTGTAATTTCGGGAAATATCTTTTAAGATTCTTTTTCTCTTATCAAATCATTTTAAATACAATGTTTATACAGAAAATTAATTGAAATGTTTGTAATCTATAAACAATGAAATAGTTTTATAACGATTTGTGTGTGCCAAGAAGTCTCCCTAAATTTCAAAACTTCTCCCTAACTTTCTTTGATGGAGAAATGTCTCCTTAAATTTCGGGTCTGGGTTAATTGGTCCCTGGACACACGTACCTTAAGGTAAAAGTTTGTTGTGAAAGCAGTCCATGACTTTCAGAGTTTCCAAAAACTTTTTCATACGTGGAAAGGTTGACCAGAGAATAGCAGATTCACTTAATTTTACCCATATTTGTCCCAGTGCAAACTCGGACTTGTCAGAAGAATGAAAACCATCAACAGTAACAGGGCATTTGAATACCTTTCAATGCTACTCAAGAGAAAAATATGTCAAGGTTCCAAATTATTTTTATTTTTATTTTTCGACCGCCCAACGCATATTTTTGTGTCAAAAAATCGTAAACCAAAAAAAATAAAAACTTTGGCCTAACACAGATTTTTTACACCATAGGCACAATATGTGCTTGAAGGCAAGTTTGATTGCAATAGTAATTTATTTTTGAGTCCTAGGAGTTACTTCGATATTGTGATGATAAATTAATTTGCCATTTCTTTGATGCATTGAGCAAGTTTATAACAAAATACCTATCATCTAGGAGCTGTGCTTTATGTTCATAAGTCAGTTATTGCTTTTATACTTCCAATTATTTATATAATAATTCCCTGGTGTTACTGTCCATTTTGTTACTGCAAGAAAAGTTACTCTAAGGACGTATCTAATTACTCCATGGACAATTTACATAGAAAATAATTAAAAAAGAATGAAAGTTGGAGTCATATGTTTTATTTTCCTCCCCTATTTAAAACTAAACAGTGACTAATTTTGTTTTAAAATGCCAAATTATTTACTAAATGTTTTTACCATTTGAAAATCATATGATTTTGCAGTCTTGGTTATGCAAAGGACAGAATTGGGTAACTCCGCGGACCAATTGAAAAAAAAAACCCTTTAAATTGCCAATTTTAATACAACATTTGTGTAAAGTTTATTACAATATAAAATAACAGAAATATTTTTATCAAACTGGCATTTATTTTTCATATAATGTTTCCATGAGCTATAAATTAATTCAATAAATAATTTGAGTAACACAAAGGACAATGTTTGGTAACACAATGGATGTAAAAACGATTAAATATTTATGTTATTAATATACTCTTGCATGTTCTTTTGTTTCTGTAGGAAAATATACAACTTTTATTTCTTTTGAATAAAATGAAATATCAAAATTCATTACGTAATGCAATCATATCGCCTTTTATGCTCTTTAAGGACGTTCGATCCTGATATTTTGAGAGTATTTTGGTCAGGTCCTTTATTTATAAAATTTTGCATCATTTATAAGTTCTTACATTAAATCTGAATTCTACAGTGCAAATTTAACTATATGCAATGAAAAAACCGCGATTAAATTCCATTCAAGTAGAACTAAGCTAGGGACTATATTTTGTGGCGGAAGGTTTTTTAGACGAAAATGATCAGTTTTTCCATTTTGAACTATAACAGTACTGTTAATTTTCGATTCCTATTTTTCCATCCTGGTTGCACACAAAGCTGTTTTTTGCAGTGAAATGTGTTATGCTGGTTCTGAAATATCTATTCAATTATTTCTTATGAGTTCTATCAACAAAGAGTGACAAATATAGTAAATATATTCTGAAAATCCAGGAAAAAATTGAGCTAATTTTAACGTAAAATTTACACTTTTTTAGTAATATCTGAAAATTTACAACATATACCCCATGTTTTGATGTTCTTTTCTAAATATTCAAGATAAATTTGACCTATTTGCTTCAAATCAGAAAAAGTTTAAGACTTTAAAATAATTTTCTTGTTAATTAAATTTTCAATGCCAGAAAAATCTCTTTTTATTAGTGCAGAAAGGTCAAATAATTGATTATGCGAAGGAATTTGAAACTTTTTCTTAGTCACAATTTTAAGTGTCTTTTTTAAAACAACCTAAGAGGTCATTTTGTTTCATGCTATAATTGGATAAAAATATTGGAGGGAAAACGTAAAAAAAATTAATTTTTCACTAAGACACACATTTCAGTGCAATAAGGTCATATTTAATGTTCTGTAGCGCCAAAAGAAGCGCATTTACCCCCATTTTTTGATTTGAATTTTAATTAAGCTATGTATGTAGAAACTAAAAATATACTTGGCAAAAAAAGTTTAAGACTTTAAATATCAGGATCGAACCTCGTTAAAGTAACCTATGGTAACACCATAGACAAATTCAGTTACTCAAGGGACACAGCAAGGATTAAAGATAGAAAAATGAAACAAGCGTATTGCATATGGAGTGGTAATTGTGTTCATTGTATTGCAGAAAACAAATGTGGTGGGATATTGCAATTCAAGTAACAATAAATAATGAAGTGCTAAAAATATATGATGGTTAAAAATGGTAACACAAAGGAAGTTTTAGGTAACACAAGGGAATGTGAAATAAGGCAGAATATGATTTGTTTTCTTTAGTCTGAGGATTCTAGTTATGTTCTCTTGATGAAGATGATGTAAACAAGACACATTAAAAAGTTGCAATGAAGCCAATAGAATCCAAGACGTAAAAGATAGATTTATATCATTGAATTGAAAATACCTTTAAAGTTATATCAGATACGGAACATTTCTTTGCAAATGCATTTAATGTTCTTTAATCATGTAAACCCTTAGATGAAAAAGTCACAAATTGTTCATAACTGTTCTAAAAGGATTTCAAAAGATGTTTTTAAGGAGACAATGTACCAGTCATTACCCTAGAATACAGTTTTGCATTTAGTTGAGGATGTTCTTCAGATTTGTCCAACTGAAATCCCTCATGACTGTGTTCTACATCCTGTAAAAGTTGGTGCTGAAAGAAGTTTTTAACCTTGGATGTACATAAGCTTTTGGAAAGTGGTGGTGAAGATTATATAGTCGAGGCAGCATTGGACAACAACAAGGCCAGATATGGTGACAGACCACTACATTTCAAGCCACTTTGTTGGATTGTTACCCTGAAGAACTGTCAATGAAAGTTTGGCAAATGATCAGTGGATACAAGAGCAAAAAGAGCAGAAAAATATCAATGAAAAAGAGTACAGATTAAAAAAGTCAAGAGTTCCTGATAGGAAATCCGACTAAAGAAACTGAAAAGACTGACACCCTGGAAGAGAAAGAATTGGAGTCAATAATGAACATCAGACTAAAGATGAAGAGAAATCAGATCCCTTGGAAGAGAAACTGGATAAAGATATAGAAAAATTGAACTCAAATGTATGCACAGGGTTAGATAGAACCTAAAACCACATTCCTTTTTAACAGGCCAAAAACTGTAAAAGATTAAAGCTGGTATAGCATTGCTAATGTTTTAATAATATTGTCACCATCATATCTTGTAGATGTGTATTTATATGTAGAGAGCTCATTGTGGAAAGAGGCTAGCTGTAGATAAATGTAATGAAAATGTAAAATCCATAAAAAGATTAATGCATTCTATATGTTTGAAATCTGGTCATTTACAAATACATATACATGTTCTAGTTTCACAATTATTTCTTCATTAAAAATTAGTTCTAGCTGATCTAAGACTCATCTATGTAAACCTTTGGATCTTTTAAAGGTGTCCTTTGTGTTATTTTTTGTCATTGGTGTTACAGCTTCTGCTTGGATATGTAAATACACTAACAAGTACTGATCAATGATTCAAAGTCATGTGATAGTAATTATCTATTATTCGGGAATAACAATTTGATTTCATTTTTCTATTGTCATATATCTTATGATTGGATAGTTATGTCTATGTCGTTACTGTTTAATCCTTGGTGTTACTAGTCAGACTCAAAATGTATAATGAAAGAAATCCCCCACCAATTTTTTATGTTAAAACCATATACTCTTATATTCACCTCTAGGGTAATTTTATTACTATCCTTTTCGGAAGGAAGGAGAACAACTTTATTATTTCTTTCTAAGTATTACACAAAATATCCTTAGTGTAACCTTTATGTCCTTTGTGTTATGCAAATATCCTTGGTGTTACCAACACATTTTTTCTATATTTATGTTCTAAATCTTTATACAATTTTATCGAAACTTGCAACACAATACTGTCGTTTTCTAATACTAAATTTATTTGCAAAGCAAGTATTTTGTGCTGAGGGAAATGATGTATGCCTTAAGTAAACGTCTAAGATATAGACAAAAGTTACAACACTTACAACTTCCAGCTATACATTATCTGATAATTTTCTGTTATGAAACATCAGTTTGATTCAATAGAATAATTTTATCACTACGTTGTGATTGTTATTCTAAAAACCTTAATTTTTTTTTAAAATTATGATTCTACTATGACTTTTAACTAAGTAACACCATGGACATTTATTGTTGGGTCCATGTACATATAATGTTTTTTTAGTATATATTAATAGAATTCTTTGTGCTTTAACATTGTTTATGCATCTATGATGTTTGAATGTTAAAATAAAACTTTAAAAAGTTTAAATCGCCACATTTATTTTTGCAAAATACTGGTGGTGGAATTTGGACAAATTTTGAAAATGACTCTTACATTTATTTACTTATTATCATATTGTCCTAAATGATCCCTTCACAAAACAAGAGGCCCATGGGCCACATCGCTCACCTGAGAAGCTTTGACCATTCCGTTCTTTAACAGATTCCCCTCTTGTAATACATATTGTGACCCCACCCTACCCAACTGATCATAATTTAAACAATTTGAAATCTACACTACCATAGGATGCTTTGATTCAATATTGTAAAACTTTGATTCCCTATTGTGGCCCCGCCCTACTCACGGGGGTCATGATTTGAACAATTTAGAATCTACACTACCCTAGGATGCTTCCACATAAGTTTCAGCTTTTCTGGCCCAGTGGTTCTTGAGTAGAAGATTTTCAAAGATTTTTCCCATATATTTCTATGTAAAACATTGATTCCCCATTGTGGCCCCACCCAACCCCGGGGGGTCATGATTTGAACAATTTAGAATCTACACTACCCCTGGATGCTTCCACATAAGTTTCAGCTTTTCTGGCCCAGCGGTTCTTGAGTAGAAGATTTTCAAAGATTTTTCCCATATATTTCTATGTAAAACTTTGATTCCCCATTGTGGCCCCGCCCTATCCCCGCGGGTCATGATTTAACAATTTAGAATCTACACTACCACAGGATGCTTCCACATAAGTTTCAACTTTTCTGGCCCAGTGGTTCTTGAGTAGAAAATTTTCAAAGTTTTTTCCCCATAAATTTTATGTAAAACTTTGATTCCCCATTGTGGCCCCGCCCTATCCCCGCGGGGTCATAATTTAACAATTTAGAATCTACACTACCACAGGATGCTTCCACATAAGTTTCAGCTTTTCTGGCCCAGTGGTTCTTGAGTAGAAGATTTTCAAAGATTTTTCCCATATATTTCTATGTAAAACTTTGATTCCCCATTGTGGCCCGCCCTATCCCCGGGGGTCATGATTTGTACAATTTAGAATCTACACTACCACAGGATGCTTCCACATAAGTTTCAGCTTTTCTGGCCCAGTGGTTCTTGAGCAGAAGATTTTTAAAGATTTTTCCCATATATTTCTATGTAAAACTTGAATTCCCTATTGTGGCCCCGCCCTACCCCCGGGGGTCATGATTTATACAATTTAGAATCTACACTACCCCAGGGTGCAGCCACATAAGTTTCAGCTTTTCTGGCCCAGTGGATCTTGAGAAGAAGATTTTTAAAGATTTTTCCTATATATTTCTATGTAAAACTTTGATTCCCCATTGTGGCCCCGCCCTATCCTCGGGGGTCATGAATTTAACAATTTAGAATCTACACTACCCTAAGATGATTCCACGTAAGTTTCAGCTTTTCTGGCCCAGTGGTTCTTGAGAAGAAGATTTTTTAATGACCCCACCCTATTTTTGTCTTTTCTTGATTATCTCCCCTTGTGAGGGGACTTGGCCCTTCATTTTTACAATTTAAATTTCCCTTCACCCAAGGATGCTTTGTACCAAGTTTGGTCAAAATTGGCCCAGTGGTTCTTGAGAAGAAGTCGAAAATGTGAAAAGTTTACAGACGGACGGACAGCTAGACAGACGGACGGACAACGGACAAAATGTGATCAGAAAAGCTCACTTGAGCCTTCGGCTCAGGTGAGCTAAAAATCAAAATGAATATGTGAAGACTAATTTTTTTCTTTTTTTTTTGTGAAATTTTTTTTAATCATTCTCCGACAAAAGAAAGATAACTCTTGAAAAATCAAGCGTTTGTGTGTAATATACATTTATTGATCAAGTTCGAAGGCAACATACGTTTTGTCCTACAAAACGCATTTTGCCCATCCTTTCATTTTAATTTTTTTTGACATACATGAATTTTTGTTCTGTCTTCCCTGATGTAACCACAGGTCCGTCACTGTTGAACATCAAAGAATGAAAATGAGATTAAACTATCCGCCCATTCTGTGACATATAAGTGGACCAACATCTCATCGACCGGTCCAATATCTCACTCAGCGGTCAAACATCAATTTTTTTATGCCCACTCAGCAATTAAAACATTACAAATGTTATACTTTTTTCATATAGATTTGTACATGAAAATTTTTTCAACAAACTTGAAACATATATATGATTTATGATATGAATTTGAAAAAAACAACAATAAAAAAAAACAAAAAACACATCATTATCTTCAAGTATTTAATTAGTGATAACCATACACTGTACATATATATAATATCAACCAAACAGATTGCACTGAAATAAGTAAGAATAACAATCAAATTTGAAATCTTAACTGATCAGATATATATTGTAAAAAACAGAGATCTTAACAAATCTAGTTGTTTACTAATATGCAAAAGAAAACTATGTAAATGTACTCTCCAATATTAATGCTGACTACCCAGAAACATTTACACTTGTGCATGAAACTTTGTATGTATATATTTGTTTATTTACATTTAGATCTAAAAATCACTATCAGTTTTGAATTAAAGATACATTATACTAACGTCACAATTTCTGTGTAAATTTACTGAGAAATGAGAATATCTAAGTTTGAAAGAGATTTCTCCTTAAATACAGGAACAGGGTTATAATTATGAACGAAAGGTAAGTAGGATTTAAAAAATAATTTATGACTAAATGTGTACACATTGATTTTGTCACAAACTGAAATATAATCAAGATGTCACTGTTAATATTCATAAACATTGACAAAAAATATTGATTCCCTAAACTAATTACTATTTAGAGCAAAAGATTTATTACGTGATCATACAGTGTACGTTATTCTATAGCAGGATGGGATAGACTAGCTAGGATCTGTGACCTTGAAGATAGTGTGCCTTCACTGATCAATGACCTCAACAACACGATAACCTTTACCTGACCTCTACAGTAGTGTGACCTTGAACTATTTATGACTTCCGCAACAGTCTGATATTTATACATGTGTATGACCGTGAAGATAGTGTGACCTAACAAATCTATGACCTCAATCAAAGTCTGACACTTACATGACCTCCAAGATAGTGTGATTATTACAGCTTTTTCAAAGGTGCTGGGTAAAAGTCAACTTGTTAAAAAAAGTTAATAAAAACATATTTTCTTGTATTAAAGCAAATTTCTAAGTAAAAGAAGTCAAATTTTAATACTGTTTATAATATATTCAGAGATATATAATGCTTATGGATGTGCATCATTAAAGTACACTGATTAACAGTTATAAATGGAGATTTAATTATCCCAACCATAATGAATATGATACCAATTTAAATTGAAACCTGAAAAGCTTATTGGAAAATCTGATTCAGCAAGCTGTCCACTTTAGAAATCTTTTGTGTGTATACATACATAGTATAAAAATATCTCACTTATTTATTCTGTGGAAATGAATAAAGATTAAATTTTAATCATCCAACCAATGCTTTCAATTCTATTTTGAACTTAGTCCCACAAGTTTGTGACACTTTAATTAAGTTCTGCTTCCATCCAGCTGTAGTCCAGTAACAAATATTTCTACAAATTTAAACCTGACTGGTTTTTAAAAATTGTTAACTGGGTAAAAAGAGTCAAATCTGTGAGTGTACGTGAATATAGTCCTCACATCTGACTTAAGGTTTTTCCATCCTCCGATGATGTCAAGGGTTTTTGCAAAAACTGTTATTACTTTAAAGTCATACCCAATAGATCAATACCTTTTGAAAGAATGGTTTTCTATAATGTTGGTGTAATGATAAGTATATATTGTTAAGAAAAAGAATTTTAAAAATGCATGTTTTCTTTATTTAATCAATTAATCTATCTTTAATAAGTGTTGACAAGGGCAATAACTCCTTCTTAGGTATCTTCATTCACGCATTTGAACCTATTAACATATCAATGCAAAAACCAGAACCCTTGGTTATACTATCATTTCACAATTATAATGTACTTTGATGAAAAGTTAAGTTATCCCCTCACCTGCATGAGAATGTAACATTGATAAATTAAATATTTAATATGGATGAAGTAAATTCTATAGTTATATTAATTTATTCGATCTGGATTGACTTAACCTCTGTAGATTGGACGTAACTTAATTTCTCTCTAGAATGAGCAAAGATTTCATTGGTCATAATTCATACAACTTTATAGAATTATTTCTCATATATATCACAGATTTAAATTTGGTCAATTAAGGACTAGACTAAGATAAGTTAATACTAGCTATATAATATCATTCATACAGTCAATAATACAATGCAGAATAACACCAGGGGTCCCCCTAGCCTCTTTTTGATTCTGATGCACTATGACCGCTAGCTCGACTACCTGTCCTTTCTTCTATTGTTGTCAGTTTATTGTTTTTTGGAGAACTGTTCAAATCATTTGAGCTGTTGCCATGGATTGGCTGATCTAACGTATCATTTGATTGGATGATGTGTGCCCCTGCTATGGTAACTGTTATTTGTTTTTCATCACTACTAATGTGATTCACCGAGTTCTTTACTTTGCCTCCTTTCTTGAACTTTGGAACATCTTCACTCACATCTGCCTTAAAATGGACTTGTTCTGAAAATTGAATTTAACAGTTTTTAAATATCTTTGCCAACAGAGGATATAGACAAATACAAAATAAAACTCATGTTCAGTGAAAACAAAAACCTTGGCAAACAAAGAATGAGTAAGTTATAAGATAAATACAAAGTGACTTTAAACACATAGGGTACTCTAAAACAGGATCTGAAAAATTGGATATTCTAGAAATATGTTGGTCTTTGTTACCATATGAAGAAACATTTTACAAGGAAAGAAAATATTTGTTGATTGAATACACAAAATTTTTCAGTGAGATTTAATTTTCAAGGATAATTCAAGCACCAAGGAAAACTGTATATATGAAAGAAAGAATATTTTACTTTGACATAAAGAAGAAATCCAGATATTGGGGGTAAATAAAAAGAAACCAAATTTAGTTCAACTGATTCACTTTTTTATCTGTTTTCTTAGAAATGTTTGAGAGAGTCACAATTAATCCAAAATGTCTTTACATTTAATTGACATATTACAAGGCTTAATCATGTTTGCTTTGTCGAAAAGTTGATGAAAATCCTGAAATGTTCAACCCATAAATAATCTAGGACTTCTAAATGCACTATATGAACACAGAGAATGTGGACTAAATAATGCAAAAAAATTTCAAGGACTAAAGTTCTGTGTGTACATATTACATAATTACAAGATACAATTGGTAATTTTAATTCTGGAGATAAGTGCCCTTGTGATACATGAGCAAAGAAATTCTCTACAAATAAAACGAAACCATTAATCAGCTTTGTCAATAAAAAAAATGGTGATCACGCAATTATATTGATTTAGTGTACAGAGGCCGTTCTTACTTCGGGTACTGTTGCTAGGTGCCGGTGAACTGGTTCCCGACGTGGCCCTAGATCTCGTCCCCAGGGACAATCTCTCTCTTTCCTCCATTATTCTTCCAGACATTTCCTAAAAACAAAGCAGCTCATATCAAACCATTCATACAATTAGCTGGCACTCAATCCAAAACTATATTTGGCTTTCATTAGTCAGTTTACCTAAATCAGTTAGTGCATGAATTTATAGCGAGGGATCTTTGGTTGTTAGAGAGGGAAATAATGTTGCAGAAACGCAAAGTGCATTTTGTTAATTTTTTTCTGGAATAACTGCGACATTTCCCATACTAACAAACAAAGAAAGATATTTTGTTGTTTATATTTACTGTAGATCACTAAATTTTCGCGACACCTTATTTTCGCGAGATGGTCATTGACTCCTGATTAGCGAGACAAAATTTTCATGAATTGTGGTTATTGCTCTATATAATCTAAGGAATACTATTATACGCGAGAATTTAATTTTCACGAGGACACTGTCTCGCGTAAGTATGCGAAAATAAAGTTCTCGCGAATAAAAAGTGATTTACAGTATAATATCTGTAATAATGATCAGTAAAGTATTCTTAATATGTACACCATTGCATGTTTGTTTGTTGGAATAGCCATAGGCCTATAGAAATCTGTTCAGATGGTTTTGAATGATATACAGTTGCCATGGCAGGGATCAACAATAACTTTGAAACCATAGTTGCCAGCAAGACTAGCCATTTCTAATTTCTACTCGCCCTGTTCATGTATTAGTTGTCCAGCAGCCAAAGGCTGGTGGCCGAGTCGCGAAGCGACGAGGGGGGTAGGTGCGGGAGGGAGTTTTCCCCTCCTTCTGGTGGGGGTAAGGGGGCCTCCCCCATGAAATTTTGAAAATACAGAAGCCAAATCCTGCTTTCTGGCTGTATTTGGGTAAAAATTATATGTCACTCTATGATTGTACCTGAGACATTTTCCTATTCAAAAAATTCCACATTTATAACCATTTAGGGTATTTTGAATCACCTTCAAATTTTACATTTTGACTTACAAAAATAATAAGTATGATGATAAAACATATGTTTGAAAATAAATGTAACAATTATCAGGTACATTGTGTGTAAATTATAATTATGTTGTTGCTCTGAGTGAGTGTTTGGTAAAATTTACAGTAGTCCTGCAGGGATAGTTTAAAGACATGTTTAGTAGTGACTAGTCCGACCTCAATATTCAGTTGTCCCGGGCCAGCGGGCTACCATTAGTCTCGAACCCTGCAAGTTGCTATGGTTTTCTTTGGAAATAAAGGAGCTAGAAAACATTCAGAGGACAAATATTACTGTTTAGTTAGTGCAGCAACGATAGTGGGAAACATGGGATAATTTGCATAAAGGGCGAAGCCCGTTATGCATAAATTATCCCATGTTTCCCACTATTGTTGATGTCCCTGACATACTATACTAACTAGACAGTGATTCCTTATATTTACATTCATCGTCAAATAAAATAGTAGATTTAGATTTTAAAAATGAAGACATTAGTCTAGATCAAAATTGCACAAGGACTCTCATGCCAATTTCAATAGTCGTATAGTAGTTCAAACACAAAGGCAGCCGCACAAGATTTACATGCATATTTGGTCTCCTAAGCGTAAGACTACTGTAATTTTTTTGGTCATCTTTTTTGAAATATAATATTGATAAATAATACTTGATTGTGAATCTTTATTTTTCATTATAATCTTATTGAGTATCATGTACATGTATTATTACTTACTATTGTATCTTAACCTATTATACAAGGAGAGGGTGTACATAGGCCTTGCCTGTTGCCCAATCCTTATTGTATTATTCAATAAAATATGTTTAAAGTAAAGAGTTATCACAGAGAAAAAAAATTAGAAATGGAAATATTTAAAGGTATACCGGGGGGTATTACACTTAATCTTTCCGGCACAGTTATAATCAAAGTACTGAAAGTACTGATAGACGGAGGCTTGGAATGAACATGATTTGTTGTCTCTTTGGGAATTTTTTATTCATATTCTGACCCCAACATTTGCCTAAAGGTAGTTGGCCATATCTTTTGAACATTAGATACCAGGACATGTATACTTCATATTTGTATTTTTGTGGAAAGACCTTTCATTAGATATTAACAAGCTTGACCTTTTGACCTTGACCTACGAGATTCCATACTTATGAAGAAACTTTAACCTTGGCCATAAGTTTTGAATGGTAAGGGATAAATAGTGCTTTTTATACGTACATATGTAATCCTTGTAAGAAGACCCAGAACTTTGACCTTTTGACCTTGGAGTTTGACCTACTTTTATAAAGCAAATCTTGACCATAACTTGAAAAGGTTTTGGGTTAGTGCTTTCATACTTTATATATTTAATCCTTATGACAAGACCTTTCATTTTATAGCAAGACATTTGACTTTGGAGTTTGGTCTACTTTAAAAAAAAATATCATTTTTCATAACTTTTGAAGGGTTAGGGCTTCATACTTCACATATGTATTCTTTGTGGGAAGACCTTTCATAGCATACCAACAATCATGACCTTTTGACCTTTACCTTGGAGATTTCCGTACTTATGGATTAACTTTAGCCTTAGTCTACTTTCATATTTCACAATTGTATTTCCAGTAAGAATACCATACTTTTGGTACCAATATATTAAATTTGCATCTTCGCTATATTGCCACACGGGGGACCAGAGCATCTTCTTCATTTATTTATCGTGGTCTAATGTTTAATTATGTAATTTACTGAATTCCCATTTTTCATCAAAAGGACAAACCACTCTAATTGCAATAAACTATATTAATTTGAATTCTTTAGTGGCTCATGGTAAGAGCTTCCTGAAATGTGAGAAAACCAAAAGTACTTTAGTATATCTAACTCTTCAGGACTAAAAGGAGCTGAGATACAAGCATTCAGATATATCAATGCATAGATGTAAACATGCACATTCAACTTTTGATTAACAATTCTGTTGTGTTGGGTAATGAACATGAAGAGGATGCAAATATTTCAAACATTATGAAAAATATTAAGCAGAACAAACGCCTGTTTGGTCCAGATCATAAAATGTACTAAGCTCTATAGCTTTTATTTTCCAGTGTGCATTAATCCTGACTTCCAAATTCTTACTTGACTGGTGATACCTTAAGAAAACATTTGCATCCAGGTGAAAGTTGACACGTACCGCAAAATGTGCCATCCCATTGTTTAAGTTTAATAAAGTGATTACAACGCCTTAATACTAGATCTCATGGATTCAACGATACCCTAATATCCAGTATTATATGTGATTTTACGGATAAAACCCAATTTCGTGGAAAATCCTTCCCGTTTCAGAGGTGGATCCAGCCATTTTTGAAAGGGGAGTTCTAGGGTTGTACTGTATACTCTATATTCTTTCATATAAAAGGGAATAGTGAGTGGAAGAAACTTAATGTGTGAGAATCTATCTATTTAATACATAAGTTAGACGTACAAATACATGTATTTTAATTTATTCTCGGAAAATATTTTTTCTCTCTCTTTCTCTCTCTCTCTCCACTTGACAAAAAATAAAGGGGGCTTCCAACCCCGGAACCTACCCTCCTTTGGATCCACCAATGAACCGCTTACAAGCATTCATCCATCTTTGACACTTTTTCAATATCTCTCCAAGGTTTGGGAAACCTAATAGATTTAACTCCTTGCATATATTTTTTGTGGGCATACTTTGAGTCACTATTGCAGATTCCATGACAACAGTGTTTTAATGCATCCTTTTTTGCACAGATTAGCCATAATATTACTTAATTAATTTACACCACAAAGTAAGATTCAAGCCACTGTTTTGGTCATGTAAACATAGAAACATGTGGGTCAGTTTGTCCCATCTAAACAGTTTGCAAAATCTTCTGAAATATGTGATAAGGAATTCTAAAAATAGATGCAGCAGAGATTCTGTACCTGTGCTATAAACAGATAAGTCGCAGCTCTCTGCTGAGTCAGTGAGTGAACATTTAAAATATGTCAGTTTCAATTAAACAATGATGCAGATTTCTTTTACCTAGGTAATGTAGGGTATTAATGTGATAGGACCTTCGCAAACTAATTTAAAAGCCCTCAGGCGAGGTCAGATAATTATAGGTTCATGAGGAAAAAAAAAAGAATTATGTATTGTTTTTGGAAAATATTGTGACCGAATTAGATTAATTGCATCAAAATCAGATGCAGAGAACTGCACTCGGTGATCTGTTTTGGTTTCCCTGACAATTTAAATTCTGTGTCAGCGAGAGTTTTTATCAGCCAATGAGCGTGTCAGCAGCAGACTCTATACATCACTGATCACCTGTCTGTATACAGCGCATATCTGATATCAGACAGGCAGGCCAGTTTATCAAAATTTAGCCTGGTTCCCTGTCCCTGTTTTGCTTCGTGTACTCCTGCCTTGGAAAGTATGAGCCTGGGGACCATGCTATTCAAAGTTAACGTGATTTGCCGCTAGATGGCGATCGCAAATTCTCTTCCGCCTCAGATGAGCGGTACCAATAGAGCGGAGGCTAAGCCTCCGTCTAAAAATCAAGCCTTTCAATAACTCCTTTTATTTTGACATTTGCATGCCTGGAAGTGCTCAACCACCAAAATAAAGGAGTTAGTGGAAAACTTATGTTACTGAAAAATAGTAAAATATCTTTTCGATGCGGAATTACGTGTGGATGGGAGGGTTATTAAAATCTCTTTTCATTGTGTTCTTCACTGCACTTGATCTGTGCCAAAAATGACAGGACTCAATACATGACCACTTGTCCCTCAACACTGGAATCAAACGATCTAATCAATCTAATCGGGATATTTAGTGATATTTACAGACCCTGACTTAGAAGTCAGTGTCGCCCTTTCATCTCCCCCTATGATTTACTCCTAACTATAAAACGGCCCCACACTCTTCAAGGAGTTTCTCAAACTTTCTGAAAGCTGTTATTGACTTTAAACATGCAAATACAAGTTCAATGGAGAATGAACTTTTGTACATCAAAGACTACCCTTAGGGTCACCTTAATATCATTTCAAAGATAGTGGAAAATTCATACAAAGTAAAAATACACTGAAAAATTGACAGTCATATAGTATCCCTTGGTTTCATCAGTTTCATTCATAATTTAGATTTTTAATTATCTGCTACACATTTAAATTTCCATCACATTTAACATCAAACAGTGTTACTTAATTGTTTCTAAAATCAGTCCATTATTTTTGGGGAATTGATCATTGCAAATTATGAGAACTGAAGGTTTCTTTGATAATATTTATATACAAGTTCTACCTCCCACATTTCCTGAAAAGCTTGTTTATAAGAACTTGGATAAATATGTGGCAATCCTGGGAACTGAATCCAGAATCCATGTAAACCAGATACTCTCCTCACTATTTAGCTATAACCGACACAAATGATGAATTGGGCAAATAACTTACTCTCTGTCATACTATATAAGATTACAAATAAGTTGACGTTACAGGGAATACATTACAGCCTCATTTAATTAAGTCAGCATTTTGTAAATGATAATGGTCATTATGACCTTGCTAGCAAATAAAATCTTTCAGTGGGTCATATATCAGCTGACTTATTTGTGAGCAATCACCAGGGGATGTTCACTCCTCCCAGGCACCTGATCCCACCTCTGGAATTTCTAGGGATGTATGTTTTGTGTCCTCTTAATATATATTTGCTTTGTTTAGAGATTTTTTGTATATTGAACACCGTTCATTATATCCACCTTTTTCACTATAAATTATTTATATTTATACTTTTATGAATAAAACATCGCTGTATCATTTATAGACAAACAATAATTACAAACATTAAATAATAGAAGTAGACCAGCTTTTACTTCTTACATGGTTTTTTCACTTCTTTCAGGGTATTGTCGTGACCTTAAGACTTCTAATCAATCAAGTTCTGATGATATCAGCTAATTATTGACCACTTTATTCATCAGCTTCGTGATGTTTTCACCTTTGTCATCCTCAGGTGTACTTAATTCCTTATCTAATTACCTGATGTTAATTTATAATGGTGAGATATTAAACATTAATCCAGGACATGAGGTAAAATCTTCCCTGATTCTGAAATACCTGTCTGACTTTTTTTTAACTAGTCAATATCTCTTGTTAACATACCTGAGTACCTCTGACTGCACTGTGAATCAATACCTGAACAAGACGGACCATTACAAGTGGTCAGCTTCTGAATGTTACCGACACAGTGAGTGAGTCACAGTATAGGAATACAGTCCTTGTCATGATTATATAAACAGACAGAATGCTTATCATGTTCAATGCACTGCTGCCAGCAATTTTTTAGATTTCAAAGAAGGAACAGCATTTGGTTAAGTTGACAGAAGAAGAAATGATCACTTGATGGACAATTTGATTCCCTCAATATGATAAAAACATATAATTTGATTACAAATTTCACCATGATACATGTAAAAGCAAAGTATATGTTCTGACTGTGTTCATCTCTAGATGCATCACCCATGCAAGTTTGCATTATTTAGATATTTTGAACAGACCTGCTGCTGGTCATATTTTGTGGAAATATGGTTAAGTTCTAATTATACCAAAGTACTCCATATTTTTGATTTTTTTTTTAATTTAAACTTACACTGCATTTTATTTCAGAAATAGCATACATCTAAAATGGAATTGATACACTAAACTTATTCAAGAAGATTTTTTTTCTAACTCAAAAATGTGACAAAATGCAGGGTAAATGGAAATAAAAATTGATTTTAATGGAGCTGAGTGGGGTTTTATTGTGTGAGAACTCTTTATTTCTATTAGTCTATACCATATATATCTTACATTAATTTCAGTGCACATGCCAAGTTTGGGGAAAATCTACATAAAAAACATATTATTCACAACGTACATCATTCTACCTATCAGTTGAAAAATCCTTTTAAAATTCATTTATATAAAATTGTACTTAAATTCTTCAATCTGTAATTTTGTAAATTTTTTTAATTAAGTTGAAAAAATTGCTCTATAGAGTATATACGCTTCATTTTATGATGATGCACGAAATATCGCACAATGGAAACCCAAATCAGCCCCCTTAATGGTACAGGTGTAAATGGTTTCTCTTGTTTCTTTTGTCTTTTTTTTTTTGGTCATAAAATCAAGTAAAAGTTTTAAACAGAAGTTGTGCTGAAAAGCATTTCAAAATTTTCAGATTGATATGCATTCCAACATAAAACATTGTTTAGAAATATCTTGATCTTTCAGTTCGAGTCAGAAAATTTGAAGAATTATTCCGGGTTTGGGAACCTATTTCTTCACTTTCATTTCAGAGAAGCATACCACAAGCATTATACAGTTAACAGTGTATTTCCATCAAGTACCCGGTATTTAATTCAATTCTTATTAAAACCAAGTCATCTGAAATTGTTCTCGTCTATTATGGTCAACAATCCTGGCCCATTGATTTATAGAAATTTGATCCTTTCTAAACAGCATTAATAGCTTTGTTCTCATGGAGTGTCATATAAGTGCCCACACTTTGTAATAAAATTTCAGGTGAAAATCTTGTCAAGGCTTTGTGTTAACGCCATTTACTATCTGTGTTCTGCCCAGTCAGGTTAGACAAACACGCAGTCCTGTGTTAAATAAGACTGTCAAGTTCTATATATACCAATTTTAATTGCACAGAACTGATAATTTGTTCAATTATCCATGCATGCTTTTCACATTGGTCCAATTTTGATCGAGGCATTCATACTTCCTCTAATTGTCTGTCTGTCTGTCCATCTCTAGATCCTAGTTAAAATCATGTCACACCATGTAGTGGGCTCATGGAATCAAAAATCTATAAAGTACTGCCCAATGCCTCAGAAGGTTTACTGTTGTTCTTTTCTCAAACAATATGTCACAGGGCATGAAATGTTGAAATCATTTATGTCTGGACAAGAATTCACAGACAGAAATGAATCCAGCCTTTAAATGTATATATTTCTCCAAGTGACCTAAAGACATTAAAAAATCTATGCTGAACATGCTGATGTTTGCATCATACAATTGTAAACTCTTTGGTTGATAGTGCCATATGGATCCAATTTTTGAACATCAGACTAAAAGCAGTTCAAACCTTATATGGTTGTTTGCAATGTACAGATGTGAAAAGTCACCTGTGGTACAGTGGTTAGAACACATGCTCTAGGGTCACAAAGTAAGAAGCTGATCCTTACAGCACAGGTTCGAATCCTGACTGGGACGCAGAGACCGGTTGCTCAAATAAGACCACAATATACCAAGGTCCTGTGTCTGTAGGTTTTGGAATGTACAACATCCCTCACTGCTCAATTTGCAATGGCCCTGTGTGCCAACTGTATAGGTATAAATTTGCAGTTCTCAACTGGCAAGTGGTTGAATTTAATTTTAAAAGTGAAAAATTCTCATGAGGAACATTATAAAAGAAACCAAACAGCTGTTACTGTGACTCATTGTCATTATAAATATATTTATAAAATGAAATCAATCCCATGTGTGCCATTGATTAATCACCATATTATTTAGTTAACTTAAAGATTTTGATTCAAGTCAAAGAATGATCAAGAGATCTGCATACTGAAAAGAAATGATTGATACATTGAACATCTGAATCTGATTCAATGTTGAACAACCAGCATAATATTTAATTGGTCAATATATTTACAACAATTTAATGATTTCCGTGTTCACTGGAGATAAAAGTCCATGATTTTTCAGTACAGCAAGTCAACTGATCAAAATGTGATTCATGTCAATTTGACTCCTTCAAGTTTTCTTCTCTTGAATAGATTCAAATTATTTATTAATCATTACTTGCTTATTGATAATACACTGTGCATATTTTCTCACTGATAAGGGTATTCATTATCAGAAATGGTACAAAAAATCTGTAAGTACAAAAACATTGATTTTTCCCACTAGGAGTTTATACAATCTATCCTGCAAGAGTAAGTGACTCATAAAATATTGAAATATCAGATATCTTCAGCAAAAGTTGTCCATAAAAATATATTCCAGAATATGATTTCTGTGAGGGATATGGTACATATATGTGCAACATTTGGTTATCAGTCTGACAGACAGACAAAGTGATTTTTCTGTATGATTATCAGACAGACAGACAAGGTGATTTTTCTGCATGATTATCAGACAGACAAGGTGATTTTTCATTATGATTATCAGACAGACAGACAAAGTGATTCTCTGGTATGATTATCAGACAGTCAGTCAGACACAGACAGACAAGGTGATTCAGTCAGACACACACACACACAGACAGACAGACAAGGTGATTCAATCAGACACACACAGACAGACAAACAAGGTGATTCAGTCAGACACACAGACAGACAGACAAGGTGATTCTCTGGTATGGTTATCTGTCAGAAAGACAGACAGATATGGTGATTCTTCACTACCCAGTATATACAAATAGCAACACACATAGAAATTAGAATTTTGAGAGGGAAAACTTAAATATTCAAGCTGTTACCTATATTATATTGCACTCAAGTTTGTGGCAGAGACAACAGGATTTTATCTTAATAACTCTCTCTCATCACACCTTTATATGTTATGAACTCTACTCCAAAAAATGTCCAAAAGAAACAAAATTATTAACTATGATCAATTAAATTAATACCTCTGCTGCGAAAGTTTTGCTGACCATTTTATCGTGTAACGTTTTCTCGCGTTTTATCTTGGCCTCGAATTTCAGTGACACGTCTCCTCGTAAGATGTTCGGATTGTTGCTTGGTGTTTTATCTTTATCCTTGTAAACGTCTGAAAAAGAAATCAAAAGCATACATCAAAACTTTATATTATCTGCGGTTATAATGTCACATACTTTGTTGTACATTTGTTCTATCATATTCATAAGCTCTAGCTGTCTTTAGTCTTTAAAACATCTTGGAAAATTTTAAAATGCTAAAACTACAAAAAAGATTTTTAATAATTAAAAACAAATTTACAAATAATTATATCAAATGTGTAGAATGATTCTTTTGTTAAATAAACTGTCATGGTTAATGCTTAATTCTGATTTTTTTAATACATCGATCAGAGTATAGACGTATCAGTTTGAAATGTGAACCAAAGTGTGAATGCATGAACAATATTTTATGCAGAGAATAAAACATTTATGTCCCTATATGAAAGTGCATTAAGGCTTAAAAAATCCAATACAGTAGTTATATCCACTTCAAACACGGTGACATGCGATTTTCTTAACCGTTAATCAGCCGTGAAATTATTTATGAAAACAAAGTATTTGTGTATGTTAATGAAATTGGAATGGATATGTTGATGAAGAAACTCTAGAATTTTGTTTGTTCTCAGTTTCTAAGATGACCAAATTCTTATTATGCAATAAGAATATGTGCATTTTATCTTAAATCTCTTGTTAATCAGCAAAAAATAACCACGTGCACTTAAAATCACATTTCATCCTCATGTATGGTGATATATGATGTACCTGGAGTATCAAATTCAATGCGTTCATGATCTAAAAAGTTTTGAAACAATTAATGAAAATATACAAGTATTTTTTATGCATTAGCTTTAAAAAAAAAAATTGATATCTCTCATAAATATTTTGCAGCACATACTTTTAAGTGAAGTTTAAACAGAAAATAGTTTAAGAGCATAAGTCTTGTAAAAATGTTATGAAAAGTATTTACATTCTGACCCCATTATGCTACGAGAAAGGCATGGTCAAAATCGCCATTTCTACATTTCTATAAAATTGTCAGTGTCTACAGAGTGAACCTGATGTCTACATTATTATATATACAGGAATGGTTTAAAGCCAAACTGACATGTCTGGGAATTATTCTTATTTCAGTCTTGGCATTAATTATGCAACTAAGCAACATTAATCTCTCTGTAAACAAAAAGATTACGTACAAGGTACAAGTGTAAGACATTAGAAATGTTTGACTTTGAGATTTATCTATATACAGAGTGCTAATAAACCAACACTTAAAATTTAAAAGTCACATTATATGACTTCTCAAATTCATGATTTTTTTAAAAACCAAGCACTGAGACCTTTTATTCAGTATGTATTTCTGTTGACCTGTCGTTAAATGCCTTTGTAAAAATCATTGGCACTCTATTAAATCATTGATATAAATAAAATTAATGATAAGTGCATTATTGTTGCTTTCATTTACAAGTTAAATTACATTAAATTAGGCTCACTCAGTCTGCAAAAACCATGTGTCTCTCAATATTTAGTTAACATGGTTATTAGGTTAATAATGTACGGCTCTAATTCAGTAATTGAAACCAGAGACTTTTCTTCAACATTCAGTTGGAGACACTTAGGTAGTTAATTCATTCTCTCCCACAATGGGAATCAATTCGAACATGAAAACCGGGCAGGGAGGGGTATAGGGAATAAAATGAACAAGATTCTATAAACAATTAATGAAAAAGAAATCTCATTATCAGCAGACAGTAAAACAAAAGGTTTGGGTATACAGCTATAATGGGGTACTACTTATGGTTGACTTTACTGAAATAGTCAATGTCTGAGCTTAATTTAATTACCACCTTTTAAGAATCCAATTTACAGACCTTTTCCATTCAGGGTATTTTTGTAACATGCATTCATCTGGAAATAGGGATTACTTAATGTCTGCTGGTATCATATATTATATCAGGGACCTATAATATATTATAGTATATAGGTCACCTGATTATATCAAGGACTATGATATATATTTTAACCTTAAAACAAATTTTAATATAATTATATTTTAACCATATATATATATATATATATATATATATATATATATATATATATATATATATATAATAGCACAATTATTAACAAATAATATAACACTTCAAATGACAAATCAAGTCATACCACTTTAACTTCAAGATTTCAATATTAATCAGCAAATGCTCTCTAGCTATACTGAGCTATACTCAGATTTTGCCCTTCCCCTCATGCCTTTCGTCTGTGTAAGTTGCAAGCTCATAAAATACCTTACCTGGAAATATCCTTGACTGAACACATCCCATTTCTATCCATCATCTATCTAAAATCATCTTTACGGGTTAAAAGACATTTTTATCTCTCGTTTCCCTCGTGTACCTGACATTCTCAGGTGTGCTGTTTTACTGTTTGTTTACCATACACAACCGGACTACGCATGAGTAATCAAAACATAGGTCAAGAGACGTTCCGAATGATCACAAATTAGTCGTCTCAAAACGAAAAAAAATGTCGTGTCCCGATAAAATTTTTCCAATGCCTCGCAAACCAAACCACGGCCAAAATCTACGATCCTCTCCCATTCTGGAGAGCTTTATGCGATCTGCGAACCACAGGTACTTGTGGACAGGACACACACACACACCCCTACTTATTTGGGGCTTATTGGAGATAACTCTATAATTTTGGTAAAAATTATATTTATTACACTTAATTATTCATCAAAACGTGTAAATATTTTTAAAAATCCTCAAAAGAAAAAATCTTTTTTACAATTAAAAAAAAAAAAAATTTATCCCAAAGCTTTTTGTTTTAACGGGAGACATATGTCTCCCTTATAATGTAAAAAAAATTTTTTTTTTTCAGCAATTTTAAAGGGTTTTAACATTTTGTATATAGTTATATATGTTTTATTTTTTTAAAAAAAATTTCATTTTATCATATTCAAGACTATTTCAAAATATGGCGGTTCTTGAAAGTTCGATTTCACTAGAAAATATTGTCTTTATGCGGTCTCCGAACCTTGGCTTGAGACGATGATTTTAGATAAAAGATTTTTTAAGCAAACGTTTTCCAAATATTGTTAAAATGTTTTTGTTCAATTCCTTTTATTTAGTAAAGAAAAGTCGTGCGACAACATCTAAAACATAAAAATTTTAAAAATTCACTCCTAATTAAACAGACATGTAATCCCCAACTGCTATTTTCATCATCTTCTTTTGTTAGCTTCTTTTCTTTTAATATCTACATGCTATCAATTTTTATTTTCTTCTTGTGTGATGTATTACGAAATGGGGGAGGGGGTTGACAACTTGTCGAGAGGGAGAGAGAGAGAGAGATTCTTTGTTTTTAAAAGTATTAAAGCAAGAAGTATAAATAATGAGAGGAGGATTTGACCATATACACTGTATATCAAAGGGGGGGGGGGTCATTACAAATTTACAGGAAATTTCGTTCCCCTCCCAAATAGGAACTCGATTGATCCATGACTAAAACTTGTTAAAAAAATTAAGAACTATTCAAACGAACAATAAAAAGTATCTCCATTCTGAAATTGATTAACTGAAGTTTAAATTGTCAGAAACGTCAAACATGTTGCGCATTTTCACTGGGTGTAAGTAAATACAAAAAGCAGCATAATAAGACTGAAATGTAAAATGCGACTTACAATTTTTTTATGAAAGCGAAGAAAGATTACATAATTTGCATACTTGTAAGTTGTGTGTACATTGCGTTGCAAGTCAATATAAAAGTTACTCCTGGTTAAAGGAATGAGGCCTGATCAAGGAGACAGAGATATCACACAGAAATTATAGAATGATTCATATAGAGCACGAATACATGGACATTTAACCGTTATAAATGTACAGTTGTACTATCAAAACCAGCTTCTAGTTTAGTACACATGTATATACCTCAACTTGCTTCTAAGTACTTTCATTTAGGAAGTACTTTCATCCTTATTGTTTGTTTATAATTGGTATTTACTAGTACTGAACAAAGGCGATTGACGTTTTTAACTTTTCCTTTCAGAAATAAAAATTTCCCCATACTATAATAATAATAACATGCTGTTATTATTATAGAATGGGGAAATTTATATTTCTGAAAAGAAAGATTAAAAATCGTAAATCGCCTGTGATACTGAATGATGCATAAAAAAAACTAGTGTGTCCAAAGTTTAACAACTCGTTATAAAAACAAACGGAATGAGGAGACACGTGCAGCTCATTAATATAAAAAAGGATAGTACTTTAAAGTTGTAAATCAGCTCTAAAATAGATCGACTCGACAAGGAAGGAGAATGGGCAATGTCTGCGTTAAACATAAGGTTTTGTTTTTGCCTTTCAGATCTCTCTCTCTCTCTCTCTCTCTCTCTCTCTCTCTCTCTCTCTCTCTCTCTCTCTCTCTCTCTCTCTCTGTACAACTATATCAGCCATTCTATTCATAGTCTACAGCTATTGTTGACATTAAAATCATAACTCATGTATATACCTTGTACATGTATATGTATTTTACTGGGGATAGATATAAGGTAATTTGATATATAGATGTACATGTATTTCAGTAAGTCATAATTCCCACCCCCAGCCCCCCTCCCTTCTTTCCCTGATTGCCATCATACTAAATTACACGAGTCTCAAACTATTGAATCATAAAATCATTGTGAAGGCTCTGTCTATTGTCTGGATGTAAACAGGACAACAGTTTGGTCTAGACTTACATTTTACAGTAGGGATCAGATAAGAATTCATATGTACATGTATTTCTGTTTTGGGTTATTTTACATGTATATAGATTTCATATGGATTTGAATTATGCTAACCAAGTATAAAAGGTTACCGTATCATGGTATAAAGATAACAAACAGTAATTAATATCAAGTCATTAAAACAATACATCTTGGGAACATAATACGCACGAATCTCTAAAAATATCAGAAATGCCGGGACCAGGTGACATTGAGGAGTAAGCATCCCCTGTCCACTGGTCACGTGTGCTTCTTGTCACGGTCGAGTAAACATTAGTCCAGAATCTGTAGATAAATCAGTTTGAAAATTTTCGGATAGATTGCATATACTGCGGACAATGTCATTTCCAATTCAACCGTGCAATTTGCTAAAAGTTGACTTTAAATGAGACTGTTGATATCCTTGTATCATCAACTTTTTTGTCAATGGTATATGTACATGTATAATGAAAAAAAAAACAGTAACTGATAGGCAAATGACCTTACTTATCTTTATTTTGATAAAAAAATATATACCCATAAGTAACGTCAGGTGCCTGTGGTAACTGACTCATTTTATCAGTTTGTGACACGAAAGTCGATAATATAAACAATAACTCAAGAGAACATGGGGAATAAAATACAAAAGCATTATCGGCTAATTATACATTTTTAATCATCTACTGAACAGCTGTGAACCGAAGCGTTAACGTTAATATAACACACCACTACAACATGTATATATACCTATATTCCCTCCCCCATCTTTTGAGAGTCTCTAATCCCTTACCCAGCTACCCCTCTCATTCTGTTCTAATCTTTTTATGTCCTGTCTGCGGCTCTTTTTCTATACAATTGATGGATTATGTATTTTTTAAAGTATTTATTGTTTGCAACCATTCAACTGCACGCATTTTGAACCAGGTAAGCTAAATATTGAAATCTTTGTAAAATAAATTTTGAGATGTACCCCGAAAAAGAACGCGCCGTCTTCGTCAGATTAATGATTTGTTCAATAGGCTCTTGCTAAATGAATTCAAGCGCTCTGTAAACAGCGACTTTACAGAGTGGAAGCCAAAATGTTGCGATTTGCTAGAGCGAATTGGGTAAGTTTGGTTAGTTAAACATCCAAATATTCATCATTTGATGATAGAATGCAGGTTACTGTAGCTAAGACTGCACTCCATATCAAGCGCAAGACGTATCATCTGTAACGCAAACCGACTAAATCTGGGCCATCCTTAAAAAAATTTCTTTTTGCGGTAACGCGCCTCATCATTTTAGGTGTGGGTAGGTAGGTAGGCTTATTTTTTTTTTTTTTTTTTTTTCTGGAGACAAAAAGTCAGAATTAAATTTCGATTATATAGAGGTATTAACTATGTCTTAGATTTCACTTTAAGTTACTAATCAAACAAGAAAATTAAGGCATTCTTAATGAATCCAATCTTTTATTGTAACAGTTCAAATATCAGAACACATCAGTTCTTTTTTAAAAACGGCGTCTACAGGTGCAATGGGGACGTAAAAAAAAATGTCAATAGCATAAAATTAGAAAATGGATATGTAAAAAAAAAAAATTTTTTTTTGAACCCTTAAAAAAAATCCAGTAGGGTGGATTTTGGTGAGTCGGTCGCGTTACCGCAAAAAAACAATTTTTTAAGGATGGCCTCAGCAGATCTGAAAGACTAACGTTACCCACGAAGCACAGACACTTCATCAGGTTGGGACCAATCGCCCTAATGGGATATAATAGTCCGTTTGGGATATAATATCCCAAATGGGCTATAAATTTACAGTGCAAAATTGAAAATTTTTATTTTGGCAATAAATATCATAAATCCGCATCAAAACACTTAAAAAGGAATAACTTTTGGTAAGCAAGTTTTTTTTTTTGCAATCCTACAGTTTGTAAGATTGATCTCCAAGAAGTTCAGGAACTTCCGAGGGATCGATCTCCTAAACAAATGACATACAGGAAAACTTGTCAACCAAAAGTTATTCCTTTTTAAGCGTCCTGATGCGGATATATGATATTTATAGCCAAAATGAAAATTTTCAATTTTTGCACCATAAATTTATAGCCCATTTGGGATATAATAGCAAAGATCAATCACACAGTTTAAACTTAACAATAATTTATTTACAGTAATATACAAATCATTAAGTACAAACTTAGCAAAAATCTAAAAATACATACATCAGAGTGTCCGTTGCTGCACACAATGTCCCAGTGAAAATATATCCCAGTTGTAACTCAATGGTGCTCATACGACAAGAGTATCTCTATGCATCGAATTGACAGGATATTTATACAGTAATATAAATCTAGAATATTCTAGAAGTTGTAAGTACATGATATTCCTGGAAAGTTCTGGACATGAATAAAGTTCAAGAATGTTCTAGAAAAAATGACCGAACATGTTGACCACTCTGGAATGTTCAAGAAACTTAATGTTACTAATAATATACATGATGAAATAATACAAATACAACACACCTCACAACACCTCCCCCCTTAAAAAGTTTGAATGTCAATGAAAACTTATATTGTTAAAATGAAATATATGTACATTAATACAAAATCATATATGTTCACGATACTCTGGACAAGGCATCTGCAATAACATTGTCTTTGCCTTTGATATGCTTAATAGTTATGTTGTATTCTTGTAACAACAAACTCCATCTAGTCAGTCTTTGATTTTTGTTTGACAATTTATGCAAAAATGTCAGGGGGTTGTGATCCGTATATACAAGAATTGGATGCAAAGTAACATTCAGATAAACATCAAAATGCTGTAAGGCTAACAACAAAGCAAGGCATTCCTTTTCAATGGTGGAATACTTTTGTTGACATTTTGTAAGTTTCTTTGAAAAATAAGAAACAACTCTATCTACCTTATCACTATGTTCTTGAAACAAAGCTGCCCCGATTCCAACATCACTAGCATCAACAGTAAGCTTGAACTGCTTAGAAAAATCTGGAGTTGACAGAACTGGGTTGCTCATAAGGACAGATTTGATTTTATGAAATGATTTTTCACAGTCCTTTGTCCATTCAAAGTTAACCCTCTTTTGTAAAAGATTTGTAAGTGGACTTACAACTGAGGAAAAATTTGGACAAAATTTTCTGTAAAACCCAGCCATGCCCAAAAACCTCATTAACTCTTTCTTGTTTGTAGGAATCGGGAACTTTGCAATAGCTTCCACTTTAGCCATAATGGGTGTAACATAACCTTGACCTACTCTATGACCTAAATACTCTACATAAGCATGACAAAATTCGCTCTTCTCAAGGTTCACAGTTAAGTTTGCTTTAGCTAAAATGTCAAATAAAGCACGCATGATTCGGAGATGTTCGTCCCATGTGTCGCTGTATATGACGACATCATCAATGTAGGCCTCGCATCCCTCGAGGTCTTGAAGGAGGGAGTGAATCATCCTTTGGAATGTAGCCGGTGCGTTTTTCATGCCAAAAGGCATTACTTTATACTGGTAAAGTCCATCTGGTGTAGCAAAAGCAGATATTTCTTTTGCTCTTTCTGTTAACGGTACTTGCCAGTAGCCTTTCAACAGGTCAAATTTACTGACAAATTTGGCGTTTCCAATGCGGTCAATACAGTCATCGATTCTAGGTATTGGAAATGAATCAGTTTTGGTAACAGAATTCACCTTTCTATAGTCTGTACATAATCGGTACGAACCGTCCTGTTTTGGTACAAGAATACATGGTGAGCTCCAATCACTTTTACTAGGTTCAACAATGTCATTGTCCAACATGTACTGCACTTCCCTTCTTAGGTACTGCAATTTTATTGGATTCAGACGGTACGGATGTTGTTTGATAGGCAGAACGTCACTCACTATGACATCATGACAAGCTGCATTAGTTTTCTTTGGAACATCCGAAAAGATTTGATGATACTCATTCATCAAGTTTTTAACTTGTTCTTTTTGGTGAATGTTCAAATGTCCAAGTTTGGCATCCAAATTAGCCAAAACTTCTGAGTTTTTCAAACGAACACTCTGATTACAATCTTTCTCATTCATCTCTACACTCGTATCACTTTCAATACAATTTTGAACAGTCTTAGCATTGGCTAAAGTGGAAACTGGTTTTACAGAATTTCGGTCACACCTTTCAAAATACTCTTTTAACATGTTAATGTGACAAACCCGTTTCTCTTTACGTCGACCTGGTGTCTTAACTACATAGTTTACATCACTGATCTTGCTTTCAATTTCATAAGGGCCATAAAATCTGGCCTGTAAAGGATGACCAGGAATAGGTAAAAATACAAGAACCTTATCACCTGGCTTAAACACCCTATTTCTGGCATCTTTGTCATACCACATTTTCATTTTCATCTGAGAATTCTTCAAATTGTCTTGTGCTAATTTACAAGCATTGTAAAGTTTTTCTTTGAAATCAGACACATAATCTAAAAGATTAAGATCAGTAGTCTCAGTCAGCCACTTTTCCTTCAACAATTTCAAAGGACCTCTAACTGTATGACCGAACACCAATTCAAAAGGACTGAACCCAAGAGACTCCTGGACTGCTTCTCGTGCAGCAAATAGTACAAGATGAACCCCTTCAT